TCGCCTGTTACCTCGGACACCGAAAGTGTCGCCACACTCCGCCCAGATCGCAACAATCTTTCGACTATTATGGAGACACATGAAGACCGTGAAAGTATTATGACAATGGATTCACTGCCAGCACAAAAAGAGACTGTACACAGTCAGTTCACTTATGTTCCTGAATTGCATGCGGCACCGAAGCACACCGTGGAAGTGACACCACCACCACCACCAGAACCCGTGTTCTCTGTTTATGCACGCACACATCACGAAATGGTCGACGGCCGTCCGGAGACTTGGTCAGACTTTACGGATGCACCGACGGTCAGTGAGGTAACGGATATGACTTCCGAGGCACCTGATATACACTCGGTTGGTGAAATGGTCGATAGCACGCACTTCTTCGAAGCTGAGTACCTGCCACGTGAACCGCCGATTGTGGTGAAAAAGCCACAGGTCACATCGCACACTGTGGACGACGTATATTTGCGCACCATTACGGAAAAGAAAACGATTGAAGATATTGAGAGCCATAAGCGTCGTGTCACCGAATACAAGGCGAAGCCGAAACCATTGCCACCACCAATTCCAGATCCAACCTGGGATGTTAAGATACGTAATTATCCGACCGAACGCGAGCAGCAACGGTGGGAGAACTTCTCGGATATTTCAAGCGCATCCGGCATGACGCTAACGCCAAAGATGGAGCGCTCTGAACTAAGCTTGCCAATTGTGCCCCAAGAGACGCCACAACAAATCTATGACAACAAAGAAAAGCTGACCAGCCCGCAGCTAGTGGGCAATATGAAACCGATTGAAATGCCCCCAGAAGATAAGGCTGTGCCCAACTGGGATGTGCTGATACGTATCTTGGAAGAGCCAGAGTTCTCCGAGGCTGATGACGCCAGTTCGGTGCATTCCAGCGTACACCCGCTTACACGCTACATCAGCTATGACGACAAGGCTAAATGGAAAGATATAATCACAACCGAATCGTCATTGCGTACTATGCTCACGGCGGCAGTGGTGCGCGAAGACTTCGAACGTATTCGGCAAGACACACGCTATGAGCGCATCTTTGAACCACAAACCTGGGATGTTATCATCCGTATATTAGCGCCACCTGTCGATGATGATACGGATGTTGAAATGCGCGCACCTAAACGCACAAAGAAGACACAACCGTGGGATACCCGCTCGCGTCGCAGCTCTTTGCCAACTTTATATGAATATGACAGCGATGGCGGTTCTTCTGTGCGCACTATACGCCAAGATCCCAGCATGCCATTACGTGATAATAGTTTCAATATACAACGTTCACGTCGTTCGTCACGTACATCGTATCACACCGATCAAAATGATTTACGTTCAATGTCCGAGGTAACGGTAGACTTTGGCCGACCCGATCACTTGGATAACGTTTCGGATGCGAGCTCATTCTATCCAACGCAGTACTACGATGATGAGGATAGACGCTCGTTCCATCGTTCGGTTAGTCATCCGTCACTAGCACGATCGGCTAGTGAATTCACCGAGCACTGGGCAGCACCAGATGAGCTTTCATCGCCGGAGGCTACGCCGAAATCACGTCGTTCACAGCGTTTGGTAGGTTAAAATGGACGAAAAATGAGATTTAGAAATGAGAGAAAAAAATAAAAATCTATAATAAGGAAGGCTGAATACTTGAATATTATATGTTCCACATTTTCCTCGTGATAATCATACTTCTTAGGAATCGCTATATTCGTCAATAGTGGCTCTTCTCGGATAGCGCGTCAGCTCTCCCTTTACTCTTTATGCGCTTGTTGTCCGGGGACTCAATGTAGGTAGACGGTTCAGTCACAGTTAGCCATCTTGTTACCTCCTTACAGTCTGCAACGGCCTTAATGGCCGTCTTACTATCTATGTAAATGTCTATTAGCTCGTTCGGTGGGTTGATTTCATCTCTGCCGCTTTTGTTATTGAAAACACCTCGGCAGCTAAAGGGACCTATGAATTTCTAGTTCGCTGCAGTAGAGCGCAGCTCCTAACAAAGGTAGTTTGAGGCGTACTATCCTGTGGAATTGAAAAGACACAAGTACTCAGATCTCTGCCGCCAGCAATTTCTGAGTCGTCCCACTGAGGGTTATACCAACATCTATTTCTTTTTAGTCTGCAGGTGGACTTTAAAGCTTCCCCACGTATGAAGTTACAAAGTGACGGCAAGTGTAGCAGTGCCTCGAGAGCAGCGGCAGTTGTTGTATAGGAAGGTCCCGTACAGCACACGACAATGAATAGTTCTTTGAAGTTTAGCAAGCAGATTTCTCACGCTCTTGATTGAGAGTCTACTCCACCATACCACTGACACATAGCTGCTTATGGATCTGATCATAGAGATATAAATCCAGAGGATTCCCTTTAGTGACAGACCCCACGTTTTACAAAAGATCTGTTTACATTGCCAAAATGCTGGCCATGCTTTGGAGATCTTGTGCTCCACCTGAGATTTCGACGATAATTTTGTATCCAGATTTACTCATAGTTACTTCACTTCGGGAGAAGTCTGAATTGTGACTTCTTTAAGTGTGAGGGGAATGAGACCATACGACCTACTCTTTCTACTGAAGAGCACAGCACCAGTTTTTGTTGGGTTAGAGGTGATCCCATTTCCACCTCACCAAGTGTCATTTAGATTCAGTATTATCTGCGCTTTCCTGCAAACAGCCGGCAGAGGTAGGTCCGAGACTAGACAGGCCATATCGGCCGCATAAACCAGTATTACATAGGCTATCGAAGGTGGCATTGTCAAAAGAAGCCTCAATCTCTACTCCATGCCCTTACATCGATCTTCAACCTCTATTGTGGCTTCTAGAGATGTAATATACTCGCCCAATTACGCTATTCTACTGTGACCATACGTTCTATATGCAAGCTGCATAAAGCCTCATTGGGTTACCTGAAAATGAGATATCCTAAGAACGTGTCTATTAGAACTCTAATCAACACTCTATATGGCGCGCATTTCAGTACCGACGATACCCCCTTAGACTGTCGCAGCGGTCAGACATATTACCGCACTAAATTAAGATAGGAAGCCATCATGGTAACTGGTTCACAAGCGAGTTGCTGCCGGAAGCAGAAGAAGACCTCATCTTCTTCGGAAAGATCCGATGTAGAAAAACTTGGCTCCCCTTGGAGTTTCCAATAGGTATCGGGTAACACTGAAGAGGTTATAGCGCCAATTCAAATATAGATTTATTAGTTAAACTGCTATATTTGTTAACATGTGCACACATACCACACAAAGCAAACGAACATTTAAATAAAAAAAAACTGCCACGTTTCCACTTTGCTCGGAACGTTATGCCATAAGCACTTGTTGTTGATGAAATTTTATTTTTAAAACTCACATTTCTATTGTTATTTGACTTGCAGACAACATTCCAG